AGGGACCTTTAAAGGCCATCTACTCCAACCTCCCTGCAATAAGCAGGGACATCTTCAACTAGATCAGGTTGCTTAGAGCCCCGTCCAAACTGACCTTGAATGGTTCCATGGACGGGGCTTCTACCACCTCTCTAGGAAATCTGTTCCAGTGTTTTACTACCCTCACAGTAAAAAATTTCTTCCTTATGTCTAATCTAAATCTACTCTCTTTTAGTTTAAAACCATTACCCACTGTCCTATTGCTACAGGCCCTAGTAAAAAGTCTGTCCCATCTCACCCATCCTCTTTTTTATCGCTAGAGTACAGGTAACATTTAACTTTCGTGGTGCTCTCTTTCCATAAATTCAATCCAACTTCTCATTCTTTTTGATTGAATGAGTATCATTCACTAGGATACAGCTATGCATTAAAACTTCCTCAAAAGCCAATGAAAAAAAAAAATCTCCAGTAAACCAAAACCCAAGGAAATAGCCAGCAGATAAATCCCTTCAACTGCTAAAGATCGTTCAGGATGAAGCAGTATATATTAGCAAAAAAGATAACATCAGAACAAATGTGCTAATTGCTTTAGATATTACAGCATCTAAAATAGCAAAGACCGAAAATTCACCAAAAAAAAGAGTTAGCAATAACCTAGTACTTGAATAGTCATTGATTACTCTTTCAATTCCTCTATGAGATAACATGATTATCAAAGATACCAATTTACCTGTGGGCATGTTTATGTGATCTGTGGCCTCCATGAGACCCTTCAGACACATTGTCTGAGGTCTTTTGAGCATTTAGGGTTCCTACCCAGAGCACAGCATATTTTATACGTGGGCAAACTGAGGTACAGAAGTGACAAGACTCACCCATGAACATACAAGCAAACGCATGATGAGCAAATACTAGAATTCAGGAGCCCTTAAAACTTGATGTGCATTTCCCAAAGTCCATAATAAATGATTATCTATAGCTATTCAGATGTGAATGCTGAATCCATTACTTTCAGTAGGACACAAACAGAAGAGTTGAAATCAATGCACGCATCAACAAAACCGCATAGAAGAACTGAATCCGCTAGTTAACATTACGTAAGGAAGATGTGTAATTAAGTGTCTCCTTTTGAGCTTTTCAACGACTTATAACCTAGGGTCATCCCCATATTACATAATACGTTTGCTGAGTTCTTTTCAGGTCTTGAATCATAGTTCTTGTTTCTTCCATTTAGCCACCTCATCTACCATTATACTAGTTTTCATATCTTACTGTAAAAACAAGTCAAATGCTCCCATAACCACCTAAATCATGCTTCAAATACCTCTTACTGAACTCCATTACACAATTCTTCCAGCACAAGTAAATCAAACCCAAGAATATACAATTTCCTGTTCATGCCAAAAGTATTCCTCTTTTCCTATATTAATTCAACTTTTCAGTACTATGAATGCATTTGAGCTTCTGCACATGGACCAATTGGGAAGGAAAGGAGAACAGCAGGAGCCTACCAGAAACAGTATGTGGATTTACTAGGGAAGAACTTTATCTTGTATCTTTCTGCAAATGTTTCTCCAGAAGAAAATGAACACATCATGCCTCTTTGGCACACAAAGATAACCACTTCCATAGGAAATGTCCAGTTGGGATGCTGGAGACATACTCACAGACTTTCAAGCAAGATTAACTTCCATACATGAAACAAGACTTTGCCTGATTTGCTCAGAGAAAATGTGATCCGATAAACATGCTATTTTTTTTCTGAAGATTGAGAACATGAAATGTTTCTGCTTTAAATATCATTATAGGAAGCAAGCACAAGTTATAATAGCACTCCACTGGGAAACAATATTAGAACCATACAAACAAAGGACTCTGTCAAACAGCTGAGACGTCAATCCTTCTCCATGTTCATAACTATAAGAACTTGTAGTCTACTTTTGGTGCTAGGGGACAACAAGAGTAAGGTGAAAGCACATCAAGGACAGAAGCAGCACAGCAGAATATACACTAGGAAAATTTTCCTGCTTCCCCCCCCCTCACCTTCCTCAGGCCACACAGTTTCTCCTGCCAAAAGACAAAGGCCTTTAAAAAAACCACCAAACCATGACATGAACTTAACAACCCCTAAATGTGTTCTCCTCTAGAATTCAGACACAAAAGACTGGTATGCAATGCAGATCTGGGTAGAAAACTGCAAATTGATGATTTTTCCAAGAGAAAACCAAGTTCACGCAGCCCTTGCTTTCCACCTGAGAACAGTACTAAAGCATGCCCTTGATTTATACATATTCATAAAACTTTTCAATCTTTCAGCAGTTACATAGTACAGCCTGTATGAGATGAATTCAAATTCAGCTGTTAATTTCTCTGTAGCACCCAAAGTAAAGTTTGCATCTTTAAACTACACTATCCTTTCATGCAGCATTGTAGAAAGCTGAAAGCACCAACTACATTTAGCCAATAATAAAGTGAGATATGCTTATGACAGTTGCCTCCTCATAAAAAGGATTGTGATGGAGAAAAAAGTGCCATGATAAGAGCAATGTAACTAATAAGTAGTAATCCTCACAAGGTCACAACCAGAATCCATCATGAATCCTTGCTAATCACAGCAGTAATGTGAGAATATCAACCTTACAGGGGTCAAGTACTTAACCCGGTGTGCTGCAGATACAAACCAACTTTTCGCAGTGCTCCAGAAACAGAAGAGGTGACCCCCTACTACTTAATACTTTTACACAGAATCATTGTTATTCTGTATCTCTCCAGTTCCCACAAACTGGAAATGAGACCTGAAAATAAGGTCTGAGACATGGTTCTACACCATGGAAGCAGGATTTAGCCTGCAGCATCCCAAATTATTCTTGATCATTAGATGTTATTAAAACCACATTCTGAGAGGCCACTGGGATTTCACAACAGCAGTTCCTTCGTATACTTTGAAAGCAGAGGGAAGCATAACTTAACTTTATGATGACTGCAAAGTCATGCAGTTCCAGGCAGAGAATGACAATATTTTGCTGGCAGTGCTTTGTAATTTGTGGTAAATACCCAACAGTCTCACCATCGATGCAATACTACCATGATAAACGTTGTGTCATGATCAACTATAAAATGCAGCATCTTGGTGGGTGCAAATAAACAAGCAACAGTGAACTATTACACAAAGTCCTGCCAGTCCTCTCCCTCTGCAGGAAGGCCATACTTTCTGAGTTTCTGTAATCTTTAGCAGCCAAGAAGACTGGAATGAAAGGGGCAACTCCACAGAATAACTAACACCATTAGGTGTATATTCAAACTTGTCTATACAGGTTAATTCAGACAAGTCTGTATTCAGAGTAACAGCTAGCGCAGACACAGCAGCACATGCAAATAGCAGGGCTATGCTCTTCCTCTTTCATGACTGATTATATTTAATTTAGTTGGATCACTTGGCAGAAATGTTTGATTAAAGCTGAGGGAAGATTTATTCATTTGTATAACCAGTATCCTCCATATTCTTTTTAATTCTTATATTTGATTCCTTTTATTAGAAGACGACTGAATTAATACAATGATCAGAGCTTACCAGGAGAACAATTAGTTCAGCTCATCTTTTACCTATTGAGTACCATTTAACCTGAAGGTTGAGACTACAAATGATGAACAATGTAATTTCATTTTTTTGCAATACTGTCACCAAATGTCATGAAACTGAGAAGCCTCAAAGCCAAGAAGTTCAAGTAGGTTCTACAGGACTGTTTGAGTGAGGGTTTTTCTCTCTCCCCTCATGCTCCACTTCCCCATCTGATCTTGCTGACAGGCAAGGATTTGGTCTAATCAGCTGTTCCTCCCACACTCACCTATGAGAGGGACCCCCAATTCTAAGTAATACATTCCCTTATATACACTCCTTTCAGGGTCATACATACAGCAGCTGGAAAATGATAATGTAAGAGCTTTAATTTCATTGTCTAAATAGGTCATTAATTAAAAGCAGTTACAAGAATGAAGTCATCCTTGAAATTGAGACATAAGTACCTATAAAAATTTTCTGTGGCTATTTACAAAGGGAGGAGCAAGAAGACCTGACAATAACCATCCTGGAGCATATTAAATACCTGGGGGTATTAAATGCTACAGCTGCACCTCAGACTGTTCTGAAGTATAACATTTATATCTCTTTACAGCACAACTGTGGGAAAATTCATGAGGCCAAGGGTGCAATATTAAATAAATGTAGTGTGAAATAATGCCCAGAGTTAGCACTGAAATCCATGTAAATTATAGACCATTAACAGGGATGACAATCTAGATATATTGAATGCACTTAAAAATACGATATTCAGGCAAAGAACAGGATATAAAAATAACTCATTATATATGAAAGGCTAGCTACTGAGTAAACTCTTGAAATTCATACATCTCTAGAGGGTAGTTGGCAGGCCTCTAGGAGGGATTAATAAGCACAGAAAAAACTTGCAAACTTCAGAGCTTGAGGTTGTTTTTGGACAGAGGCTAGGAGGAAACTACCTTTTGGCATATTGTTTAAAAAAATAATTAAAATGAAACTTGAAGTTTTTTTCTGAAGCACTTATTACTATGCTTGAAGGGTGGGATACTATGGGCTTGAGAGAAGTAACTTCTACCCTGCAGTAACCACTTGTGCCCAGACTTATTCTACAGCAGTGGGGTAGCTGGTCATTTTTATTGAGAGAAGCTTCCTTGCTTTAACTATGGGATAAAGAACGCACACCAAAACTACTTTTTTGCGTGTCCACACACATCCATGCTTTAAAACTCTTCACGCGTTCATGCATAAAACTGAACCAGGACAAATACAAGTAATTCATGTTGCAAGGCAGGAGACTGGCTATCACTTTAGGGATTCTCAGTTTCTAAAGAAAGAGGTTATATTACTGTTCATGTTACAGAAGTCTTCAGGCACAAAATGCTTTCCTTTGCTTTCAGTAGTCCATTGAAATTCAAATATGGAATTTAATAAAAGTCTGGAAAAGTCAATAACTCCTGTCACTTACTTGGCTTAGAGTTAATGACGACATTTTCAGCAGAGTGCTGGGGTGGAAACCTGCAGTTCTCTCCTTGGCCCTCGCTGCTGCCATACTCTATGACTTCCACTTGTCCCAGCGGCACACTCCACTTCAATAAATACCTCTGGCCAGTTGTCACGGTGCCACCACTTTCATAGGAAGAGCTGGAAGATGCACGAATTATTACTGTGACAAGCAACTATGTTTCATGGCATCTCATTTATTATTTTAGCTTCTGAAATCTTGTTTATCAGCCTGAATACCATGCACAACTTTAACCAAATACATGCATCAGGCTGACTTTTGTGACTGACCTTTCCTGTGAGTTCAAAGAACTGCTATGCAGGTGCAGATAATCTTGTTTACAAACAGCACAGGACTGCCAACAACAGTCCCTACACTTCTATAACAAAACATAAATGACCATCTTTTAAGATCAACGTGCATTTTGACATCATTATATGAGTACTTAGGATGATACCGTAGCTCCATCTTTTCCTAAGTCTTTTGGATTGTGCTGTCTTTCAGGACAGTACTTGAAACAGTGCTAAAAAAGTAACAGCTACGTTTAGGGAAATGTGGATGATGGGACCTTTGAATGACTACTGGCAGCAGGAAGGGCAATGTCACCTGGCAAGGGCTGACGAGCTAACATTTCTGCTGAGCCCCACAGCCCAGGATGTTCTTTACAGCAGACCTTTGCAACTGCTGTGCCTTCGGAAAGTGATACCACATGAGCTGCCGCCGCTGCTGCTGCTAAAGGAAGTGTGTATCACACCAGGCATTTCAGAGAAAACAGCATGCTGAGGAAGGTCACTTGGAATAGAAATGGCATTTATACTCCCTTTCCTTTGTTTCCTTCATTCCCTTATTCACATTCAAGGACATAAAACAAACACTTATCATAAAGGACAGAAGAGATGTTAAAGTGAACAAAAAGAGTATACTTCACAAAAAGCATGAATAGAGAAGTTAAATGCTTAGGAGAAAAATCAGCAAAACGTATTTATTGTGAACAGTACCTTAACACTGATGTTCAGCTACTCAGCTACCTAGTCACAACACAGTCATACTTTTGTTTCATTGAAGAGACAAGTATGAAGAAAAAACACAAGTGCCACAGCTTAAGTAAATATTTATAAATTCTTGATCTAGTTCAGAAGAAAGAAAACAAGACAAGGGAGGACACAGCTATTCAGTCACTAAGGATAGCATCCACCCCATCCAACTCCTGCTACTAAAAAGTGAGGACTCCAGTTAGAGACGGTCATCTAGACTACATGTGAAGAAGGACCTTCTGAGGGCCATGTACTTTGTAGAAATACGTGTCTTTTGACAGCTATACAAAATTGGTCTGGAACCTGTGGTCCCCAGGTTCCTGGAACATCAGACTTTTTCTGTAAAGGTTGGACAAAAGGTGGTTAGGAAAAGGGAGCTCAAACATAGTGCACAGCTACGTTTCAAGTTTCTGAAGCACTCTACAGCTCATGGGTAAATCCACAGGCATGCACTTTAAGAACCAGCGCTATGACAGAAATCTAGCTTAGGTAAGATGCCTAACTTCCATACAACTAAAATGAAGAGAAATAAGGCAAGCAGTACATGCTGTAGCATACACTTCTTTTGAACCAAAAATTCTGGACTGGATACAGGTGTCATAGTGAAATTTGGCAGTTGATTTCCTTCAGTCATTAACTATATTCTGCATGAAAAAGGTAGTTTCTTCTGCACTAAACATCTAAGAGCAGTCCATGAATTAATGAAGGAATCCTGAATTCACACACAGCTTGCAGGTGGACCCACCTGCAATTGAACACCCCAAGGAAGTCACAAACTCTCTTTTTGCTGGAGAATAAAGCTAGAAATATATTCAACTATTCTAAAACCCCACTGTTATATAAATAAGTGGGTTGGAAAGCAAACCTTAACTGCTAGAGAAAACCATAATTAATTATTTTCAGAGTTAGCAAACCCCCATGACACAGGCATGCCCAATTCCCATCCTAAAGGAGGTTGCTCAGAACCAGTTAATGCCCACAGGAACAACAGTGCTGTTAGTGATAACCAGAACTGTTGACTTAATAAGTAACCCAGAGACTTGGCATAATCATGAACTTTTCACATGGAAAATCAAAACAGACTGCACGTTGCCACTTCAGGGACAAGTACAAGAAAATCCAAGACAATGTTGTGATAGAAAAGATAAAATGGTTAAAAGCAATTTTCTCCCATGTAATCATAAGAAAATCTCCAAATGTTACTACAGCAATGAATAAATTGTAAAGGACTAAAAAGTCACAATTCCTACAATAATTGGACATAGCTTATGCATTTTCTGAAGTACAGTTATTACACAGCACTTCTCACTAACATGAGACCAAGCACTCACATGATTACAAAAACACATACTGTATTCATACTTCAGTAATGAACTAAGATATCCACTCCTATTATGCTTAAGAAAAGCTATGAATAAATTGTAAAGGACTAAAAAGTCACAATTCCTACAATAATTGGACATAGCTTATGCATTTTCTGAAGTACAGTTATTACACAGCACTTCTCACTAACATGAGACCAAGCACTCACATGATTACAAAAACACATACTGTATTCATACTTCAGTAATGAACTAAGATATCCACTCCTATTATGCTTAAGAAAAGCTGTTCTTGGAACGATTACAAAAACACATGCTGTATTCATACTTCAGTAATGAACTAACATATCCACTCCTATTATGCTTAAGAAAAGCTGTTCTTGGAAGATTTTAACGGTCCACATTTTCTGTCAGAATGTACCATCACAGTAATTTATGATACAAGCAACATTTGAATGTGAGTGTGACCTTGGCATACACAGAGGTATAGTAACAGTAATAATTACAGCCAACTAAAACACAGAAGGCACTATGAAAAAAATGCTTTCTTCAAAGCAACTCAGCTTTAATCCTTCAATGTTTGGTCTCAGAGATAAAAATCCTTCCCCAGCTGGAACTTTGTTAGTGAGTTCCGTTTTTTCTGGCTACACGCATTAGGTTTGTGGGGGTTTTTTTAATAATTTGCAACTTGTGTCAAGCTACAGATTTGTGTGTGTGACAGTATGAATTTAAGGAAGAGAAAAAAAAAATCCTACCTTGGCATGCCTGCATTCCACCAAAGACAAATACACAGCACAAACTAGACACTAAAGAGCATTTCTATCTGTAATCTCCAACTGATAGAATTTTCTCCCAAATTTACTGTAGAACTTCCAAACATCAGCAGGCAATTTAGAGGACTGTAAGAAAGCTAGTTATCCATTTATTACTACTGCTAGAAATCATTAGCCATAATAAAAATAACAGTGAAAAAGATTTGTGTTATTTATTCCAGCTGAAGCTTGAATGATCATTTAAAAAATATGAATCAAATCTTACCGAATATTTACTGTTGCACACATCAGCACATCGTTTAACATGAAAAGTCGTCGTTCTTTGGTTTTGATAATTTCTCCTTTGTCATTGTAAACCGTCTCAACCATATCATCAGTCCGTATGAGGTATCTATTTCCACTGCTGAGTAGCTAGATTTTAAAAACAATCAACTTTGTATGTTATACACCGTACATCTAACATCCGGTGCAAATAATAAAAGAAAATACAACAGGTTATCTCTTGCCATCCTAGTACAAGTGTTCACAGGTGGATTTGCCAAGTGAAATAAGCCTCTTTACTGATTTGCTTTTCATTTAGAGAAACATTAACTTCTGCTGCCAGCAATAGGGCCCACAGGGGTTTTTGGTCTTAATACGGAATGTAATTGCTCTGAAAAATCTTCCACACTGACAAAGGTCTCCTAGCAAAAAAAAAA